GTGAGAGTCTGTTGCAAAGAATGTAATAGCAGAGCATTTAGAAATACATAATATGATCAAGCAGAGTCAGCATAGCTTCATGAAGGCAAAATCATTCCTGACAAATTTATTAGAATTGTTTGAAGAGGTAACAAGTAGAGTAGATAAAGGGGAAGCTTTGGGTGTGTTAAATTTGGATTTTCAGAAGGTGTTAGGTTACTTCATAAGATATGCACTCATGGTGTTGGAGATGAATAGAGGACTGTCTAACTAATGGAAGACAGAGTAGGGATAAGGGTGGATTTACAGGCTGACAACCTGTGGAGTGGCACAGAAATCAGTGCTGAGGCTACAATTAGCTACAAATACCTTAATGATTGGATGACGGAACTGAATGTACTCTCACTGAGTTTGTGGATGACATAAAAATAGCTGGGAAGGCAAGTAGTGAGGATGACACAAATAGTCAATTTATTTCAAAGGGAATGAAATAGGGTGGTAAAGAAGGCGTTTGGCATGCTTGCTTTTATTGGTCAGGGAATTGAGTACAAGAGTCAGGATGTCATGTTGCATCTTTATAAGACTTTATTTAGGTTACACTTGTGTAAGTTGTGTTCAGTTCTGGTTGCCACATTACAGGCAGGATGTGGAGGCTTTGGAGAGGGTGCAGAAGAGGTTTGCCAGGATGCTGCCTGGATTACAGCTTATGAGCTATAAGGAGAGGCTAGAAAATCTCAGGCTGTTTTCTCTTGAGCGGTGGAGGCTGAGGGGAGACTTGATAGAAGTCTATAAAATTTTATAATGCATAGATAGGCTGGATGGTCAGAATCTCTTTCCCAGAGTTGAAATGTCTAATACTAGCGGGCATGCATTGAAGGTTGGGGGTTTGGAAGTTCAAAAGAGACGTGAGGGGCAAGTTTGGAGTCTGGAGTGTGATGCTAGAAGAGATAGTGGAGGCAGATACAATAGGGGCTTTTAAGGGACTTTTAGATAAGCACATGAATATGCAAGGAATGTAGTGATATGGACCAATGGCAAGCAGAAGGGATTATTTCATTTGGCATCATGTTTGGCACAACATTGTGGGCTGAAGGGCTCGTTCCTGTTCTGTGCTGTCCTATTTTCTGTGCTCTAAATATAAACGGAAGGGACATTTTGCTGAAACTATTCAAGTCATTAATTGGACTACAGCTGGAATACTGTGAACAGTTTTGGGCTCCATATCAAAGAATGAGAATGAAGAAGAATGAGAAGCGACCTGATTAACACATAGGGTATTGGAGTCATACAGCCTAGAAACATGCCCTTTGGCCCACCATGTCTATGTGAACCAAACTATACTAATCCCATTTATATGCACTTGGATCTGGTATTTTAAGTGCTTGTCCAGATGCTTCTTAAATGTTGCAAGAGTACTTGCCTCCACCACCATCTCAGGTAGCATGTTCCAGATTTTTACCACAATCTGGGTTAAAAATGTTTCCTCAGATCTCCTCTAAATGACTTACTCTTCAGCTTAAACATATGCCCACTGGTCTTAAATCCATCTACCATGGGAACAAGCTTCTCACAGTCTATCCTATCTATGCCTCTTATAATTTTGTATACTTCCATAAGATCTCCCCTTAGCCTCTTCTGCCCCAGGGAAACAAACCCAGCCTACCCAGTTTCTCCTCATAATTGAGATTTTCCATCCCAGATAACATCCTCATGAATCTCCTCTGTACCCTCTCCAGTGCAATTATGTCTTTCTGATTGTGTGGTAACCAGAACTGCACACAGTATGCCATCTGTGGCCTAATCAATGCTTTATAAACTTGCTTGCTCCTGGCTAATGAAGGCAGGCATATGCCTTCTTCACCATCCAATCTACCTGAATTGATACCTTTAGGGATCTATGGACTTGTACACCATGGTCACTTTGTTTCTCAATACTGTCTAGGAACCTACCATTCATTGTGCAAATCCTTCCCTTGCTCGACCTCCCAAAATGCATCATCCTTGCACTTACCAGGATAAAATTCCATCTGCTCAATTCACCAGCTGATCAGTATCAAACTGTAGCCTGAAACCACCCTCATCACAATCGACAACACCACCAATTTTTCTGCCATCTACAAACTTACTTTTTATGCCTTCCACATTTGCATTCAAGTCATTAATGTACATACCAAACAGCAATGTCCCAGCACCGATCTCCATTGCACACTCCGTCCTCTGATCACAGGCTTCCAGTCACACAAACAACCCTCCACCATCATCCTTTGCCTCCTATTTACAATCTAATTTTTGATCCAGTTTGCCAACTTTCCCTCGATCCCATGAGCTCTTACCTTTCAGACCAGCCTTCCATGTGGGAATTGTCAGAGGCCTCACATCAATTGCACTACCGTCATCAATATATTTAGTCACCTTATCAAAAAACTCAACTAAGTTAGTCCGACAGGATCTCCCTTCAACAAATGCTGACTGACCATGATTAATCGCTGCCTTTCCAAGTGTTGATTAATCCCATCCCTCAGAATTTTTGCTAATAATTTCCCTGCTACTGAAGTCAGACTAACTGGTCTGTAATTACCTGGATTCTCCTTGCTGCCCTTCTTGAACAAAGGAATCAGATCATTGATCCTCCTGTCATCTGGAGGATGTTGGCCATTTCACCTGCAGCCAACAAAGTATTAACTATCTCTGCCAAGGCCCCAGCAGTTTGTATCCCTTTGTATCCCAGGTTGCTATGAAAGACATCTCATCAGGCTCTGACGATTTATGCACTTTATGCCCACTACAACATATAATATCTCTTCCTTATTAATCTTAACTTGCTGTAGAACCTCACCATGCCAACTGAAATCTCCAGCTACAATACCTTTCTCCTTTGTCAATACATTTAAGAAATATTCATTTAAGACTTGATCCAGATCCTCTAGCTCCATATGCGAATTGCCTATTTGGTCCCTTTTAGGTTCCATTCTTTCCATGGTAATCCTCTTGCCCTTAATATATTTATAAAATTCCTTGGGGTTTTCCTTAATCCTATCTGCGAAAGATATTTTGTTGTCCCTCTTTATTATCTTAATTTCTTTTTTAAGCAACCTCTACATGCTCTAAGATAACAAGGTGTAGAGCTGGATGAACACAGCAGGCCAAGCAGCATCAGAGGAGCAGGAAAGCTGACGTTTCGGGCCTAGACCCTTTTTCCTGCTGTGTTCATCCAGCTCTACACCTTGTTATCTCAGATTCTCCAGCATCTGCAGTTCCTACTATCTCTACATGCTCTATATACCTTAAGGGCACCCCCTGTTTTTCAATGCTGTGGACCGAACATATGCTTCCTTTTTTTTTCTTTGTCAAACTCTCAATATTCCTTGACATCCAGGGTTCCCTGGACTTGTTGCCCTTGCCCTTCACTCTTAGAGGGACACTCTGAACTCTCACTATACTACTTTTAAAAGACTCCCACTTTCCAAATGTAGACTTTGCAACAAGTAGCTGCTACCAGCTTATGTTTGACAGATCCTGCCTGATGTACTGAAATTGGCTTTCCACCAATGTAGAGTGTTATGGTCACTGTACACAAATGTTCGCTCATTGACATTTCAACCACTCGACCAGCTTCTTTCCCTAGGATTAAGTCTAGCACTGCTGTATCTCTAGTAGGACAACCTACATACTGGCACAAAAAGCTCTCCTAGACACACTTAAAAAATTCCACCCCATCAAATCTTTTCATGCTTAGGGGATCCCAGTTAATGTAAACAAAGTTAAAATCCCCTACTACCTGTAGTATAACCCTATACCTCTATACCTCTCTGTGATTTGCCAACATATCAGCTCTTCTATCTCTCTTTCTGACTGTTGGGAGATCTGCAGCAAAATAATCGCCCTTTTTTATTTACAAGCACTACCCAGATGGCCTCATTTGATAAGCCTTCTAAGACATCTCTGTCAATATTGCAGTGACTGTGTCCTCTATGAATAATACATTGCTCCACCTCTCTTGCATCCCCCACGCCCCCATCTTGCCTGAAACTTCGATATCTTTGAATGTTGAACTGCCAAACGTGCCCTTCCTTTAACCCATCTCTCAGTGATTGCAATAATATCATATTGCCATGTGTTGATCAATGCCCTGAGTTATCTGTCTTATCAGTCAGATTGCTTGTGTTAAAATAGATATAATTGAGCTTTCTGGTCCTCCCATATGCTTTATCATGCTCATGTCTTCTCCTCTTGCTGGATTCCTAGGAGTTGACCGGCTAGATAGGGTAAGGATGTTTCCCCTTGTGGGAGAGTCTAGCAGCAGAGGGCATAATCTCAGAATAGGTGTTACACATTCAAGAAGGAGCTGAGGATGAATTTCTTCTCTCAGAGTAGTGAAACTGGGGAATTCTTTACCACAGAAGGCTGTTGAGGCAGGGCTGTCAAGTATATTCAAGGCTGCGATAGATTTTTAATCAGTAAGGGAATCAAGGACTATGGGGAAAAAGGCAAGGAATTGCATTTGGAGATTGCCAGATCACTATGGTCTCATTGAATGACTGAAGAGACTCAATGGGCTGAATAGCTTACTTCTGCTCATATGTCCTATGGTCTTATTGAGATCTTCCCTGGAGACTTCTTTCTCACTAAGGTATATCTTTACTGTCCTGAACAGCAAAATTAACTTGGTATCAGAGATTGTAGGAACTGCAGATGCTGGAGAATCTGAAATAACAAATAACTAGTGAAGGGTCTAGGCCCGAAACGTCAGCCTTCCTGCTCCTATGATGCTGCTTGGCCTGCTATGTTCATCCAGCTCTACACCTTGTTATTGCAAAATTAACTTGTTCTCTTTAAAATTTTGGTATTCTGGCAGTTCTGACCTGATGTTTGAAAGACGATAAGTTTCACCATGGTGCTTCTCTTTTACAGTAATGCTCAAGCTTTTGTTAATGTTTCAGTTGCAGTTCATGTCAAGTGAGGTCAGTGACTTTGCAAATGTTTGTCTAGACTGCCACTAGTGACCTGTCTGTCTTTTACAGCAAGGGGCCAGTGCAATACATCTTGCAGTGCTGCACAACCATGACTCCATTGTCAAGCTACTAATTGATGCAGAATGTGATCTGGATATTGCCGATCATGTAAGAATTTACCCTACAAGAATCCCTTGGATTATTAACTTGAGCTCTTATTATACTACTTGAATGCTTGTGTCAAGTTATTTTCTATTTTTAACAAACATCTGAGAGAAGATTTTAATATGATCTTGTAAATCATGTTTGTGATAACATCTGGTTTATTGTGGGGCATCTTGCAGTTCTGATATTTGATCAGAAATCCAAAATGATAGAGCATGGTGGGATCAGAATCTGTTATGAAATTGAAATCAACAAAGCTGGTAATAGGTGGGCTGGCATGAGAAACTGACCAGACGACCTGCTGGATTGTTGTTAAAAACCCAACCAATATCTATCAGACAGGAAATTGCCACACCAATCAAGTCCTTTCTACAGGAGAAACCAGTCCCAAGTTTCGTGGAAACTCTTAATGCCTTCAAGGGAATAAAGGAAGGGCATCAGTTACTGCTTGATCAGTGTCTCCTATATTCCAGAAGTATGTATATTATAGCAATAACATTTTCCTTCTTGTTTGCCAGTTTCAATAATTAGATGAGATTAATTTCAGCCTTTTACCTTCAGGACTGACAGGAATGGACAAAGTCAGCATGAATTTATGGAAGGGAAATGGATGTAACTAAAAATTGATAAGGAGGAACCAGTGGATGTGGTTTACTTGGACTTTCAGAAGGGTTTCAATAAGGTCTCACATAAGAGATTAGCATGTAAAATTAAAGCACTTAGGATTAGGGGATAACATAGAGAAGCATAGAATCATATAGTCTACATTAACAAAAAAACACTAATTCTAAATTTCCAGTAATCCCACTTTCCAGCACTTAGCACATAGTGTTGAATGTTATGATATTTCAACTGCTCATTTAGTGATGCAATTTTAAAGGTTTGAAGCTTCCTGCCTCATAGGCAGTGCATTCCAGGTTCACACCACCCAGTGAGTGAATAATGAGTGAATCTCTTCTAAACTGCCTGCCTTTCACCTTAAAATTAAGCCCCTTTGTTATTGACTCTTCAACTAAGGGGAACAGCTGTTTCTATCCACCCTGTCCATGTCTGTCATAATCTTGTACACCTCTATCAGGTCCCTCCTCAGTCTTTTCTGCTCCAAAGAAAACAACTTAAGCTTATCCAGACTCTCTCGATAGCTGAAGCACTCCATCCCAAGCATTAGCCTGTTGCATCTCCTCTGCACCTACTCCGGTGCAATCACATCCTTCCTATGGCGTGGTGACCAGAACTGCATTCATACTCCAGCTGTGGCTTAACCAATTTCTGTAGAATTTCTACATAACATCCCTGCTCTTTTTTCATAGAATCCCTACACTGTGGTAACAGGCCATTCAGCCCAACAGGTCCACACTGACTCTCCGAAGAGCATCCCACCCAGACCCCATCCTGCTACCCTATCCCTGTAACTCTACATTTCCCATGGCTAATCCAGCTAGACAGTGTATTCCTGAACACTGTGGGCAATTTAGCATGGCCAGTCCATCTAACTTGCACATCTTTGGACTTATAATCTTTGCTTTGACTGATAAAGACAAGTGTCCCATATGCTTAACTACCATATTAACCTGCCCATCATGTTCAGGCATTGGTGGACAAGCACCCCCTCTTCTCTGAGCTTCCTACTATCTTTCCATTCATTATCTTGTTACTTCTTCCAAAATACATTGCCTCACACTTAACAGGTTAAATTCTGTTTACCACTGATATGCCTATCTAACCAATCTGTTTATGTCTTCCTGTAATCTAAGACCTTCTTCCTCATTGTCAAGCACCTAGCCAATCTTCGTGTTATTCACAAACTTACTTTTATCATACCCTCCACGTGTTCAACAACATATAATTTAAATGTATCACTATCAGTCAGGGGTCCAGACAAAAACAGAAATTGCTGGAAAGACTCAGCAGGTCTGGCAGCATCTGAGGAAAGAAAGAGGTAACATTTCGGGCCCAGTGACCCTAATTAAGAACTGATTGTTGCAAAGAAAAGATTGGTGTACAAGCTGAAAATGGGGTGGGTGGGATGAGTAAATGATAGGTGGAGATGGAGCTCAAAGAGAGAGAAAAGCCGTTGGGTTATGCAAAACGAATGGGTAATGGTCAGTCATGGAGAATCAATAGCTGCTAATGGGGACCATTAGTAGCTGTCAATGGGTTGGTTGTGGTAGTAGCCATGTGATGACAAGGCCTGGTGTATGGGGGTTGGAGTAAGTACATGGAAGAAGGTGCTCAGTCCTTAAAATTATTGAAGTCGATATTGAGTACTGAAGGTGGAAAGTGAGATGCTGTTCTTCCAGCTTATGCTGAGCTTCACTGGAGCATTGCAGCAAGCCCGAGACAGGGATGTTGATCCTGTTGGTGTGTGTTTGGCCCTACAGCAGTGCGTTGATGTGGCAGGCAGCTGGAACCTCAGGATCATTTTTTGCAGACAGAAAGTAGGTTTTCTGCAAAAGAGTTGTCCAGTCTACGTTTCGTCTCCCCGATGTAGAGGAGACCACATAGTGAGCAACAAATACAGTAGACTGAGTGAAGTGTAGGTAAATCACTGCTCCATCTGGACGGTGCGTCTGGGGCCTTGGATAGTGAGGAGGGAGGAAGTAAATGGGCAGGTATTACACCTTATGCAATTGCATGGGAAAGTGCCATGTATGTATGTGGGGAAGCATTGGGAGTGGAGGAGGAGCGAACCAAGGTGTCCTAGAGGGAACAGTCCCTGCAGAAGGCTGACAAGAGAGGGGAGGGAAATATGTGTCTGGTGATGGCATCCTGTTGGAGGTGGTGAAAATAGCCACCTGAGCTGAATGCTGATCCCTGTGGTATGCTACTGGACACCAGCAGCCGATCAAACAAACAGTCTTCTACCACCACCCTCTGTTTCCTCCCATTCAGCCAATTTTCTATCCAACTTTTTTTTTTAATTCACTCGTAGAATGTGCACATCTCTGGTTGTCCGTTATGTTATTGTCTGTATCTAGTGGCCCTTGAGAAGGTGGTGGTGAGCTGCCACCTTGAACTGCTGCAGTGCACATGCTGTAAGTTAACTCACAAAGCCCATAGGGAAGGAACTCCAGGATGTTGACCTAGCAACAGTGAAGGAACGGCGGTACATTTCCAAGTCAGTATTGTGAGTGGCTTGGAGGGGAACTTGCAAGTGGTGGTGTTCCCATTTATCTGCTGGCCTTGTCCTTCTAGATGGAAGTGATTGTGGGTTTGGAACGTGCTGTCTAAGGATCTTTGGTGAATTTCTGCAGTGCATCTTGTAGAGAGTACACACTGACGCTCCTGAGCATCGGTGATGGAGGAAGTGGATGCTTGTGGATGTAGTGCCAATCAATCAGGCTGCTTTGTCCTGGAGGAATACAGCAGGTCTGGCAGCATCAGAGGAGCAGGAAAGGAAATAAGCAGAGTGGGGTGGGGCTGGGCAGCCCCAAACACTGTCCCCCACATTTGTTTTCCAGCTCCCTTTGCCCTCCCCAGTCTTAATGAATGGTGGAAACCTGAAACATCGACTTTCCAGCTCCTCTGATGCTGCCTGACCTGCTGTGTTCCTCCAGCTCCACGCTGTATTGACTTTGACTGCAGCATCTGCAGTTCTTGCTATCACCAGACTGCTTTGTCCTGATAGGTGTCCAGGTTTTTGAGTGTTGTTGGAGCTGCACCCATCCAGGCAAAGGGGGAGTATTCCATCACACTCCTGACTTGGACCCTGTCGATGGTGGACAAGCTATTGGAAGTTAGCAGGTGAGTTATCCCTAGCCTCTGACCTGCTCTTGTAGCCACTGTGTTTATGTGATGTATCCAGTTGAGTTTCTGGTCAATGGTAACCTCAGAGATATTGATAGTGGGGAATTTAGTGATGGTAACGTTATTGAATTTTAAGTGGGTGATGGGGGATGATTAGGTTATCTGTTATTGAAGATATTCATTGCCTGGCATTAGTGTGGTGCGAATGTTACTTGTACTTGTCAGTCCAAGCCTGGAGGATTAAGTTGCAAGGGGTGCAGTATCAAGGGCATTTCAAGGAACAGAATAGAAGGAGGCTGAAAGAGTTTAGCGTGGTGTAGTGGAGAAAGAGGAAAGAGAATACTTTAAATTGCAAAATACTTGAAATCACTGAGGTAATGGATTCCTTGTCACTGAATGTGGAACTCCAGCACAAGGAAAAATACACTAGATGTGATTGTCATGAACACTGTCAATTGTTAAATTTAAATCTGATATTGAGATCTGAGTACAATAAAACGGGGGATAGAAGCTATCTGGTTAAATATTCCAGTTGTGTTGGTTGTGTCTAAGGTGATGCCTTTTTTTGTGTAAAGGTTTTGTGTGTCAGTTATTTTCAAAATAACCTTTGTTGCTTAGGAGTGGCATTATGGTTAGCAATAGTTAGCCTCACAGCGCTAGGGACCCAGGTTCAATTCTAGCCTCAGGTGACTGTCTGTATGGAGTTTGCACATTCTCCCTGTGGCTGCATGGGTTTCCTCCACGTGCTCTGGTTTCCTCCCAAAGTCCAGAGATGGTGCAGGTTAGGTGGATTGGCCGTGCTAAATTGCCCATAGTGTCCACTGATGTATAGGTTAGGTGGGTTAGCCACAGGAAATGCAGAGTTACAGGGATAGGGTAGATCATAGAATCCCTACAGTGTGGATACAGGCCCTTCGGCCCAACAAGTCCACACTGACCCTCAGAGCACCCACCCAGACCTATCCCCCTATAACCCACCTAATCTACCCTTCCCGGAACACTACGGGCAATTTAGCATGGCCAGTCCACCTCGCCTGCACATCTTTGGACTGTCGGATGAAACTGGAGCACCCGGAGGAAACCCACGCAAACATGGGGAGAATGTGCAAACTCCATACAAACAGTCGCCCGAGGGTGGAATTGAACCCAGGTCCCTGGCACTGTGAGGCAGCAGTGCTAACCACTGAGCCACCGTGTCACCCCAAAGCTGGGGTGAATCTGCGTGTGATGCTCTTCGGAGAGTTGGTGTGGACTTG